AGGCCAGTGCCACTGCCCGACTAGTGTAAGAGGCGGAGGCCGGCTCGGCCGCCCTCGTGGGCTCACCTGGACCGCGGCAGGGACCACGGCGGCCCGACCCCAGCCCCGGCCCCAGCCCGGCCCCCGCCCCAGTCCGGCCCCAGCGCCAGCGCCAGCCCCGGGCCCCAGAGACACCCACCTGGCACAGTCCAGAAACCCCGAGTAGGTGTCCTCATTGACGCCGCGCTGGAGTGACTGAAGCCGAGTCTTCACCACTGCGAGGGGGCATCTGGGTCAGGGGAGGAGCCCACCCGGGTCCCCCCAGCCAGGCCCCGGCCTCCTCACTGACCGTCACAGGGGTTTACAGCCACGGCGGCCATGCTCCCGGCCGCGCAGCCTGCCAGGAAGGACACGTAGAAGGGCGACTTCTCCTCGGGGGCTGGGCGGCCCAGCTGGTTCAGGTTGGCAAAGAGGGGGAAGTAGACAATGGAGAAGGGGACGTCCCTGCGGGAAGCAAGGTGGCGGTCCTCATGGGCACGGCGGGCTGGGCGGGCGCACCCCTCCCCCGCCCTCCCAGCCCCCCACCTGAGCAGCGTGGCCCCCAGGCCCTTGTAGAGGCCAGCAATGCCGTGGCTCCGGAGCAGGTCCCGGGTCAGCCGCATGGCTGTGGGCCGAGGAGCAGGCGGGGCCTCCGCCGAGGGCTGGGCTCCTCCCTGGGACGCAAGCTGTGCTTCGGCCAGAATCTTCCTCTGGGCAGCTGGTGAGAAAGAGGTTCTTGTCTCTTGCTGCTGGCTCAGGGCGGGCTCAAGAGACACAGTCCAGTGTCCTCCTCCCGGCCCCTCACCAATGCGGCCGGCGTCCTGCAGCTGGATCTTCAGCATCTCCATGGGGGTGGTCACGATCACCTGGCAGGTCCCAGCCCCGCAGCCGGCCAGCATTTCCTTGGGCAGAGTCAGCTTCTGCCTGCGGGTGAGGGTGAGGGTCGGGAGGAGCCGCAGCCCAGGGACTCCCAGGAGGCTTTCCAGACGTGGCTTCCAGGGGGAGGGAAGGGGTGGAGGTGGCGCAGACCCGGGTCCCATAGACAGATGGCCTTCTACGCGGGCACCGCGGGTGGACAGGGAGGCCATCTTCTCAGAGAGAAATGAAGACTTTGGGTTGATTGCGCTGAGGAGCAGTGTTGACCCTCATGTGCCAGTAGTGTGGTGGCTGGCTAGTGCCCCCCCAAATCCTGGCAGCTGAGTCACTGGGGAGGGGAAGGACAGCCGACTCGGCAGCTGCTTTGCACCTCCCCACAGAGGAGCAGGACGTTGCCTCCAAGGCTGGGACACCCCGGGACTGCTGGGGCGATCTCTCCCCCCAGGACCTCTCCCCTAGGACCTGGGACCCCAGCAGCCGGTCAGTCCCAGCCCTCACCCATCCTTCGAGAGCTGATGACGGAAGAAGTCATTGGCCGCTAGCTTGATGGCCTTCTCTGGGGTCACCAAGGTCAGGTTCACGGCAGCGCCTGTGGGGACAGAGGGTCAGACGGGCCTGGGAGGCGCAGGCAGGCTGGGCGGGGGCAGCTGTGCCCAGCGGCTTGGCCTGGGGAGGCTGTGGGCCAGCACTTGCCTGCCAGTTGGCAAAACCGTGCCCAGCACTCCTTGGCCGCCACCCCCTGCCCTCTCACCCACATATGGGCTCCTCCTGTGCCAGGCGGGAGGGGCCATGCTGCCACCCCTCCCTGCGCTCTCCTCCTTTGGCACGTCTCCCCTACTCCCCCACATCACCCTCTCCTGCCTTCCTCCTCCATCTGTCCCCGTGCTGGCAGGCGGGCTGGCCCTGACACACAGGCAGCGAGGATCAGGCCCCCAGAGGCCCAGCAGGGCCACCCCAGAACACCTCCTTCCTGACAGACAGAAGGTGCCCTCACTGGCAGAGACCTGGTAGGGGCCAGCGCTGGGGGTGGGGTGGGGTGGCGGTGGAAGGCTTCTGCTGGTGGTCAGTGCCAAGAGCTCAGGACTACACAGCATCCAGGAAAATCCAGGCTTAGGATTGTTATCTAAGCTCCTGGGGTGAGGCCCCCACTTCCCCCAGCCTCTGAGCACAAATGTAGGTCCCCTGGTCCCAGAAGGTAGGGGAGGAGACTCAAGTCACCGGGTGGGAACACAGATCCTGCCACACCAGGCATTGGGTGTGACGGGGCGATGACCAGGGGGCTAGGACCAACCCCTTGGACAGCCAGCAGCCCCTACCCAAGGCTGGGCTCATGGCCCAGCACCCCACAACACCCACATTTACACAGGATGGACAGGCTACCACCCCACCCTTCCCTCAGCCAGACCTGCCCATCCGATCCTCACCCCGGTACATCCCGAAGTAGCCTTCGGAGCGGATGGTCTTGATGAGGCAGTCAGACCTGCAACCAAGGGCTGGATGAGCAGAGCCTGGCCTGGACTCGGTCCCCGTCTGGACTGCCCAGGGGGTCAGAGATCAAGCCAGAAGCCCAGCCTGAATGGAAGCACCCTCAGGCCCGCCCTGTCTCGCCCTCAGTTTCCCCTTTATGGGGGCAGGGGCCACAGGCACAGAGCCCTGAGGTGGAGCCCACGTGTGGCCCGCGTCACGCTGGACACTCACATGCTGGCGTACATGCGCTGGCCATTCTGCTGGCTCTGCAGGCGGGTCTTGGCTAGGTCGATGGGGAACACGCAGGTGACCCCGATCAGCCCCGCGATGCCGCCGTTGATGAGCTTGGCGGGCAGGCTGTGTGCGCAGGGGCAGCGTTAGGACCCATCCCCTCCACTCGGGGCTGGGGGTGGGCGGCGAGGCCAGGACCCAAGCCCGTCCCAGCTGACCTGATCTGCTTATCAGCCATTTAACTGGGCTGGCGGGGCAGAGCGGGAGGTGGAGGCCCAGCGGGGAGGGCGGTGGCAGAGGCAGCCGCTGCTGTGGACCGAGGAGGGGGGGGTGTCCTCCACCTTTAGGGGAATTTCCAGGTGTCAGCCACCTGGAGGGGAGAGGACAAAGCCACCGTGCAGCGCCCCTGGGCCAGGCCCTCCGCGTGGCTAGGGATGCAGAGGGGAGGCCACCCACCCTGCGGCCGCCTGCTTTCCCCCCAGTGCCCTCCCGGGGCAGGGCTGGGCATCACAGGCCTCCCACCGGCCACCTCTCCGCGCGCACGCGCACACACGCACGCACGCCCATGCTCACGTGCACACGGGACTTGCGCCAGCTTTTAAAGGGCCAGGTGCTGCGGGGTTGGGCCGGGCTCCGGTGGCTGCCCGCCCCCCGCCCCCCCCCGCCCTCGAGCTAGGCCAGGCAGGGGGGTCCTGCCCTGCTCAGGATGGAAACCGGGGTCCCCTCCCCGCGGCCCCGGGGCCCCCGCCCTGGGAGAAGCCCATGCCTGCCCCGCGGGGCCGGCGGCCCTCCTGGAGTCCACACCACGCGAGGCCCATCCCGCGCTCCCCTCATCCCGGCTCCTCCACTCCCCGACGGCACGGGGAGGGGGCGGGGGGCTCCGCTTCCACGAACAGCAGGCTGGGGAGTCAAGAGCCAGCCCCGGGGCTCCCACGTGGGCGGGACACAAGCCCGGGGCCGCCTCGGTGTGTCCCCCCCTCGGTCCCCAGAGAGGTCAGCTATCCGGCTAGCAGCCATCCTCCATGCAGCCGCCCAGGAGCTCCAGGGGCCCTGTGACCTTTACCCCGCCAGGCTGCCCAAGGCCTGCCCGGGCCCGGCCACCCTCCGCGCCCCGCCGGGCGCCGCTTACCCCGGGGCTGGGTACCGCGACCGATCCTCCAGTACCGCTCGCGCCCAGGCGCACCGGCTCGCGGGGAGCTGGGGAGGGGGCAGGGGC